CAACCCTCAACACACATGTCTTACACGTCCGCGTACAGCTCGATGCGCCGCGCGAGCTTGTCGTCCAGGCCGTCCTTGACGTAGGCGCGGAAGCGGTCCCGCGAGCCCGGCGGGTTCCCGTCGGCATCGCCGATCAGCACGCGGAAGCCCACGTGCCACGGCGCGTAGCCCATGCAGCTCGGGTGGTAGCCCGACCACAGGGGGACGACCGCGTCGTCCACGTAGAACGCGTGGCGGTCGAGGTCGCACTGGAGCTCGTGCTCCGTGTCCGTGGGCAGCCCGAACTCACCCAAGCAGTTCATCACCAGCTTGCCCTCGGGCTGCGGCACCTCGGAGCCGTCCGGGAGCGTGACCGTGAGCTGCGACATTTCTTTCTCCGTAAAAGAGCGCCGCTCCCCCGTGACCGCGTCGTAGAGGTAGATGCAGCCGTATTTGATGCTGCCGTTCCAGTTGCCCTCCATGATCACCGTCCGCAGCCCCCTCTTCGTCGTCGTCGACACGACGTAGACCATGACGAAAACGCGCCGCGTAGGGTCGCCGACGAGCCGCCTCGCGGCGGCGATTTCGTCCAACGCAAAGGCCGCGTGCGCCAGTCGTCGAGTGCGTCGCGCCACTGGACTGCAGTCGACGTAGCCTAATTTCATCGTGCGCGATTCGATGACGAGCTCGCGGTTGCGCTGCGTCCGCACGGCTTTAGAATCCCGCACACAGCATCGACATGACGGGTTGTTCCTCGTGCCCGTGCCGTCGAGCTTCGCGTCAAACGCGCTCCGGGGCAACCAGTAATCGTCCGTGCCGTGGTGCTTCGCGCCGCGGCAGCCGTGCAGAAGCTGGCAGTCGGCGTCCGTGCAGGAGCAGTAGGTCAGGTGCGCGAAGTCGGAGACGGCGCCTCGCGTGTCCGACGGCACGAAGAGGCTCGGCTCGTCGAGGGAGCTCGTCGCCGCGGCGGACGCGGAGAAGGCGGGGAAGTCCTCGAGCTCGTCCGGACCCACGACCACGATCTTCTGCCCAAGGCGCGCGCGGGCCCCCGCGAGCAGGCACTTGTGGTTCAGGAGGCGGTCGATTCCCGGATGGGCCACCACGAGCTGCGTGTCGTCGCCGACCTCGCTGAGGGCGTCGCCGGTTACGAGCTCGTAGCCTTTCTCGTCGAGGAGAGCGGCGAGGGCTGCGAGGGCTGGGACGGGGAAACCCGTCGCGATGGCGCGGCCCCGCGACAGCCGCCGGAGCGCTTCCGCGGCGCGCTGCCGTTGCGGCGCGGAGGCGGCGCGTTCCGCGAAGAAGCGTTCCAACGCGGGACCCGCCGCCGCAGGGTCGCGCCGCGAGGCGACGAGTTCGCGCCGCTCCACGGCCGCCGCCGCGTCGGCCACCGCGCCGGCCGCCGCGGCGGCGCACGCGGTCTCCGCGTTCAGGAGGTCCTCGCGGCGAAGCTCGACCCGCCGTAGAGAAGAGTGCGCTTCGTCGACGTCGAAGTCGGCCCAACGCCGCGCCGCTTCCGCCGCCCAATAGGTCGCGACCTTCGCGTCGACGTCCGCGGTGCGCGCATTATCGGGGGGCTCGAACGTCGCCGCGAAGTCGTTCGCGGACGCTAACATGTCGCGGATCCGCTGGTCGCTGTAGAACTTGGGGAGGTGCAGCATGAGCGCCTGCGCCTGCGCCGTGATCGGCAAGGCCTCGCGGGGCGACCGCGACGCCTCGATGTTGCGCTGCAGCAACGACAGGTCCTGGACGGCCTTGGCCAGGCAGTCCAGCTGCAGCGCCGAGGGCGTCGGCGCGGCCGTGGGCGTGAGCGTCGGCGTCGCGGACTGCTGCGCCCGGGCCGCGAGCCGCGGGTCGCTCGGCGCGGGCGCCGGCGGCGCGCTGTCGTAGGGCGGCGCCGGCGCGTCGTCGTAGGGCTCCGGCGGCGCGTCGTCGTAGGGCTCCGGCGGCGCGTCGTCGTAGGGCTCCGGCGCGGGCGCCGGCGGTGGCGCGTAGACCGGCGCGGGCGGCGGCGGCGCGACGGGCGGCGGCGGCGTCGCCTTGTCCCAGAACTGGACGATCCGCACGCCCGAGACCTCGAAGTCGTTGTCCGGGGGCGGCTGGCCGTCGACGACGCGCCGCCGCACGAGGATGAAGAGCTTGCCCTGGAGCTGGAGCGCGTTGTCGCGCGACTGGCCCAGGGATTGCGACGCGACGCCGAGGCCCGCGTCGTCGCGCGACCACTGCGGCCGCGAGTGGCCACCGAATTTGACTTTCACGCGCCCCGTCGCCGCGGACGGCGCGGCCGCGGCCGACTTGTCGACGAGCACCGTGCGCGGGCCCGCGGGGTAGATGGGGCTCGCCGTCTTCTGCGCGACGAGGCGCTCCGCGACGCGCTCGTCGCCATCCTCCGCGGCCTTGAGCAGCGCGAACGCCTGCCCCGCGGAGAGGCGCTCGTCCTCGGCGGCGGCCTCCAGCGCCTCCTCGAGGGGCGCCTCCTCGAGGGGCGGCGCGAGGCCGTGCGCGACG